TTATATAAATGAATATAATATATTATAATATATATATACACCTTATAAACAGTAGTTATTATACACCTTGTAAACAGTAGTTAACCAAATTATAAGTCAACTTTGCTATCATACATCATCTATAAATCCCATGAAAGCCCCCATTTGCATTGGTTGCATCACCATTTTCCTATGATTTGTAGGTTGCTATCTACCATCCCAGGCGCATTAGCAGTTTGGACCTCTTTGCCACTTCCAGCTTAGATGTGCTCTCCATGGAGCTGTCTGGAGCCGCCATGGGATTCAGGGGGAAAAACGTGGTGACCTTTGTGGGTCCTTCATCAGAAGAAGTCTCTATTGTCACACCGGTAATGGAACCTGGCCAGTAAAGCCAGGACCCTGGGACTCTGCTGCTGCACAGCCAGAGCCCCGGAGTGATGGCTGCACCTTTGCCACCCATATAGTGCTCTTGCAACTGACACGAGCTTGCAGAAGGGAAAGACATCCAAATACTGAAGAACCTGTACGTTGATGCGGGTCAAGACGTTGAGGGCCTACGAACCACAGATATGGATAAAGTTGTGCAACTGACACCTGTCACATGCAGGTGTGATGCCCTGCTGCACAGCGTTTCAACCTGGCTGGCCGAGCGTTTCGATCGTTGCATGCAAGATGTTGCGTTCGCAGAGGTTCAGGTGCGGCTTTTGATTGGCTTCAAATGTTTTATTCGGGAGTTGGTTAATGATCTTAATGTTCTTTTGGTGTGTGACAGCTGTGGTTTCAAATATTTGATGTTTCAATATCTCGGATTATGATCATGCAGATAATGCATATTTGAACAGTTTGATACATTCAATCTGGTTGGTGGTTTGGAACATTTTTTTATTTTTACATATATTGGGAATAATTATCCCAACTGACTAATATTTTTCAGAGGGGTTGAAACCACCAACCGGATATAGTTCAGTACTTTCAACATAGTTGATCATAATACAGTATACCCAATTGTATCCAATTGTGCTGTTTTTCTCTCCCCTTTTCAAGGTGAAAACACCTAGCAGTTTATGAAGCGCAGGAAAATTCCTGCGCCATGTGAGATTTTTGGAATAATACTGTTTCAGTTGATTATTGCCTAATTAACTCTTCATTGACTTTTGCTAAGTTGACGCTCAAATTATAGCTATAAATTGTGGAAAACACGGTAAATCAAGCATAATCAACCTATTTTTTGGGCATGGCATTAATATTCGGAAGTGATTTCCCTAGGGGTCGCCCTGCCTCATCGACTCCGAGACGAGCCGCCGCGCAGGTGTCTGACCTGAGTTGTTTTGAAGCGGTCAATACGGTCTATGCCAGGCCAGGCCGAGTTGCGTCGGCCGCGTTGAATGGGAACCCCTGGACCCCAAGGATTTTGAAGTTATGATCTCCTAAAATGGGGACAGCAAAATCATCCAAAAAATGATTGGTTTTTCATGGTTTTTAAGTCTGGGAATTTTGGTCCCCCATGTCAAGAAACAGTCAGATGGATGTTTTAATCAATCGAACTAGGAAAAACATGATCAGGCCAAGCAAAGAACAACTTTGGGATGTTTACAAAGCTAACTAAATGTGATTATGGGATGTCCAGTCCAGTGCTTGTTTCAACAAAATATGGTGCCTACATTGTGGATCTACAGAAACTGGCCATATCCAGGCATTTCAGCGAGAATCCACCTGCCCGGGTGTGCATCGAAACGCCTCTACCAGCAGGCGCTTCTGGTGCTGCTGATTCGATTGGGAAAATCTTCCTGAAGACCCTGAAAGTCAAATTACTAGTTTTGTTTCTCGTGTATATACTGTATATATATATACATACATATATATTTATTATTTAGGTTTATCCGCAAGGAACTTGGCGCAGCCGGATTTTCTGGGGTCACACACTTAGTTCTGATCATGTTGAGCAAGGGATGGAAGAAACAATAGCTTTCCTACCCTTTCTGTGTACCTCTACTGTATTTTGAAGGACCCTTTAGACAGTGTTTCGTTTACCCCAACAAAGCAGAATCTTCAAGGCCATTAATTACTGACATGGCTAAGACTACCCTGAAATCGGCGTGTCTGAAAAAATGAACAGTTTTCTGAAACATGCAGTTTCACGGGAACAACCACAAATATGATATCCCAGTGATGAACCGGCCGATTCGGTGTGTACCGTTGTATACCCATGTTTTGGACACTGAAATGGATGACAAAACCCAGACGGGTGAGAATATAGTGATTGGTGAAGTTGGTAGCTACTACCCCAAATGGATTATGAATTTTAAAGAAAAACACATCCATGGTACCTGGGCATTGGTAGATATACCATTATGTGGATTATATACACTACCAAAATGGAGTTCCATTGGTACCCCTTGGCCGCGTCACCGAATGGGCCGCTGAAACTTGGAAGCAATCCTCGTCAGGTGTTGATGTGAGACTGCGCTTGCTCTTAAGACCTCATGAAGGTGCAGCTGATGCTGCCAGTTGCTCCAAGATGACCTTTGAATACAGCAAAAAAAAGTTGAATAGTTGGGGATAGTGAGAGATATTAGTAGGAGAGATTGGCCTTAATGTGGATTAATTATTCATCTATTTTTTGTCCAGAATCGCATCAGTTTCTTCTACACAAATCAACAGTAGCAGGGCTTGTCCTTTTCGCACTGGTTGATTGAGGGGTCATTCACATTGTTCACAACAGTTCTAGGTAGATGCCGATAAATCAAAAATATATACATGGTATACCACTTACCAGCCCATTACCAACAATCATCCGCTGATTTTTTCTATACAGTATATCGTTATAACATTTTATATCAATATTGTATATATATATATGCTTATATATATATATACATCGCTATTTGAGTAGGGTTTTTACTCATATCGATGTCTTTTGCTATATATATATATCATTACTAATTATATATATATACACCATATCTTACTCTCAAGCACACTTAGATGTGGATTACTACTGGTTGGTGGTTCGGAACATGTTTTTTTTCTATATATTATTGGGAATGATCATCCCAACTGACGAACTCATATTTTTCAGAGGGGTAGGTCAACCACCAACCAGGTATCCATTAAGATTCCCATTAGATCCCATTAAACCACCATTAAATGCCATTAAACCACCATTAGGTCAACCACCAGCAAGACTATTACTAACCCCCTGGAGGTGCCTCGGGGCGAGACGCACTTCGGGTCCAATCCATCTCCACCTGGGCGATGGCGTGCATCGGGCCCTACTCACAGGCAATCGATGATGGGCAATGGGACTAATGTGGCTATGGGTCATACCCCAAAATCCACAGGTTCATCATTCATTGGATTGGTTGAAGGGACCATTTTACCGGAAAACCATGGAAAACCCTGTATTTGATGGGGAAAACGATATGGTTTTCCTGTAGGTTTTCCTTTCAACCAATCCATTGAGTCACTGAAGCACTGGTGAATCATCTATTATTTCCATCTATTTGCCCAATGAAATGCTATGAAACATGGGTGATTTCGGACACACCCAACGCGTCGTGCTCCACTTCCAGCGCTGTGCCAGGCACAGCGATGTGCGGATGTGCTCTGCTCCTCTGGCGTCCTTGGCTTGGTGTTGGGATCCTCAGCTGCGAGTTGCAGACTGGAACCAGGTCATTGAGGGTATTATACCAGCTGGTTGGCGGTTTGGAACATGATTTTTATTTTTCCATATATTGGGAATAATACTCCCATTTGACTAATATTTTTCATAGGGATTGAAACCACCAACCAGACCAGGTTTCGTTATACTTATTGGACTTATTGTTGAATTGTGTATAGCTGATTATTGATGATTGTTGATGATTGGTGTTGATGATTGTTGTTTTCACGATAGTCAACAATAATCATTAAACAATAATGATTATTGACTAAAACCAGGCTAGACTCGATGATCGTTATGGTTTATATTTTATGGTGTTATTATCATTTTATCATGGTTTATTTTCTGAAACGATCTCATCTAAGTTTCCTCCTGCTACGCAGTCCAGGCTGGGCCCTAGGCATCCCTGGTCTGCCACCTTTGAAGTACACATGGAGCGACTGGATCGTTATCTTTTTCCGGTCGTCGTCGTCGTCGTCGTCATCATCATCATCATCACTGTATGTCATTATTGTCATAATCATCATCATCAGAATAATGATATCAATAATGACAAAACATAATTACGACATATTACGACTATAACAATAGTGACTAAACTAATAAAACTATTGCAGTAACAATTCAGTAAGAATGACAACAGGTATTGTTTACTATCATCATCATCATCATCATCATCATCATCATCATCATCTTCATCTTCACATGCCAAACCCATCACATATAATATCCTATAATTACCCCCTGGTTTACCAAGGCCGCACTCCATGGCTCTGCCAGATGCAAAGCTGCTGGAGGCACTGTTCGCCTAACTAACACGTGAAACAAAGACCGGGTGGCTGTAATTATATAATGAGTCCAACAACAGAACAAAGCACCTAGGCTAAGCATGGATTGTGGTAGATCCATCATAGTTGATAGTGTTTCAAAGCCAACTTAGAAGTAGGGGGATCTGTAAATATATCGGTGTCTGGAAATTTGGAGATCCCCCAAAAAATGGTGATTTTCATGGGGACCATGATGATAAACAAGTGATTTCCCGTTGCCTGACAAGGGCCTTGCTCAGCCAGAGGCAGCCGGAAACCGGGGGTTGCCACCAGTCTGCTGTGGGTATCGGTCAAAGTATGTCAAAGTTAGTATCCCCAGAATTTGGTACTTTAATAAATATTGAACAACACCAAATTTAGATAAATTTAGTTCGTTTCCTGGGCCTTCAGTGTTCATCAATATCCGTATGATGGTTCTCAGTTTGTGGGTGTGACGGAGGTAGGCCCTAAAAAGGTTCGAAAATAATCTTGAGCAGAAGCTCAATATTCGATATCTAGTGCAGTAGTTCTGGGCTTACCAGAGGAAACTCAGCAGTCTCGAAAGCACTGGTGTTGGTTGATGATTGTAGGAGGCCATAAACCAAACACATAAATTGGGGATATGCGGGATTATTTTGATGCAGTCTGGTGGTTCTCGTTAACCAACCGTTATACGGGGGATTTTACGGAAGGTTTTGTCCTCAGCTGAGTTTTGATCTTCTTGATGGTTGCCATTTGCCATCAGTTTTTTTTAATGGAGTTTGTTTGGGTCCAATGTTTGTTGTTTGTTGTGTTTCACTACAGGGTAAATGAGGTTTAGTAGTTCGATGACGGTCATCATGGTCCAGATCAAGACCAGTGCTTGCAATTCAACAACGCGCTGTTGCTGTTTTCTTAATGGGGTGAGCGGTGAGTGGAAAATCCATTGATGTGTATGCCTGCAATGCTACAATGGCTACAGCATCAAATCAAATGATTTTGCTGATGGCAGGCAGAACTATGGATGCTTATGCGATCTTTGCACAATGTTTTGCAGGCCACTTGTTGCAGAGTATGCTGTGTTGATTGCAGCGAATTTGTGTTGTGGCAAGATGTCAAGTATACTATAGCCGCTAGCCGCTAGCCTTCTGTGTCTGACTTTCAAGAACAACTACGTAGTTTGTAGTTGTGAATGTATCCAAATGTTGTTTTCCCATGCCTAGTTGGATGGTTCAAGCTGTATACATATATATATATATACATAAATCCATGTACCATATCTGTGATTCGGTTATTCAATATCAGTGTGTTACTGAAAAATAGCAATCCAACTCTCCTAGAATTGCTTTAAGGGAACATTTGCAGGAACCGGTGGTGAAATTAATTCCTCTATATATAGACTTCGACTTCAACCAAACAGTTGAAACTACCATTCAAAAGGAGTAGTGATATTCATATATATATATATATATATTCATAAGTACTGATTTGTAATAGGGTTTCCCCAAAGAATTGAAACTACAATCCAAAGCTGTTCTTTTTTTCTAAGGACCCCCAGGTTTCCGGTTTCCTTTTTTGCAGGTGATGGGCAGCGGTTTCCAAGAGATTTTGATGGCGCAGGCGGTTGTGTTGGATGCACTGATTATACAATTTGTGATACCCTTTGGTTATTTAACATAGCCATGGTATAGATGGCCCATTTATAGATGATTTTCCCAGCTATAAACCTCCATTTATAAGAGATTTTCCATGGCTATGTTGAATAACCAGAGGGTAATTATTGTATAATCTCTATTAATCACACATCACTTACTGTGTATCTATAAACTGATTTTATTTACTGTATATCTATTATTCGTGATTAAGATTGATTAAGATTATATATAATATGTGCTTATATGTGACTATATTTATAATGTGATTGATTGTTTTTAATGATTCATAGTTTATTGTTTATTGGATCTGATATCCATGTAATGATCTAGGATTTTACATGGCGATTGAACAATAGCTCATGGCAGGTAAGGGTCATTGTTCTTTTTGTTCCTGAAGGTTTGAACAACTCAGCATCTATTGATTCCGGGTGCCAGCAAAAAAATGAGGTAACTGGGGAGTAGTATCCTAGAGAGTCACCTCCATGGGAATTCTTTATAATTTCTAGGTGATTATTCCAAGGATCATCCCATACCAAAGTTCTTCGCTGGTTTCTTAAAAAAATATGGTTTTTGTTTCCATGTGTTTTATGTCGTTTCAATCGTTTGGGGTGTGGAAATGCTGCACCTGTATTGTGGGAAAGGTCTTCTTCACTTTCAAAACAGTCCACCCCAAGTCCTTCCGATCTTTGATTCTTTGATCCACAGTCTTTGATAGCAGGATTACCCTCTGGTAAATCAACATAGCTATGGAAAATCACCATTTTTCATGGGTAAATCCACGAACTCAATGGCCATTTTCAATAGCGAAATGTTAGTTTACCAGAGGGTAGCAGGCGCCAACACATTGGATCATCAAAGATGGTAGAACCGCTCATTCACCAACCGTCAGCTCCAGGGCTTGCCGGACATTGCCCCATTTAAAGATGATATTCCGAAATGAAATGATTTTCCAGGGGATTGAAGTCCATCATTTACATGTGTAGTAATTATAGATATTTATTAGCATCTTCATTTACAGGGGATTTCCCAGTTCAATTCCATTCAATGACCATTGTTCAGGCGGTTTTTTCGAGGATGTCCCGGGCAATTTCACGCTACCCGGTTAGATCAAGACTTTGCTACGTGTCAGGTCTACACTACTGCTGGAGTGGATGGAACCAAGCACCTTGGGCAGTGTAGGGATAGTTACTATTTCCCATGCCTCGGGGTGATGTTCTGAATGCCTCAGATCTTTGGGTTGAAACAGTTGAAACCACTACTTGAGTCTCAAGTTATCTTAACATGTTGTTGCTCTTTTTGTGTTTGTCCAGGTTGCCACTGTTGCAATGACGGGCCCTTACCAGTGTAGAATGATTCAGAATATCCGGAAGAGTTTTTGTTGCTGGAAGTTGCGAGTTTATTTAATAAGAAACTGATTTAGAACATCATGTACAGGCAGTTACAGTACAGGTCACATCACTATATGTGTATTTCCATTTCCCGATTCCTCCCGTGTTTGATTGGCTAAAATCACAAGGTTTGATATCACCAGACCCTCCATGAAAATATCCATGGTTGATGGTTCAATCCCGCATACGTCATATTTATATGTGTATATATTACATACATCATACTTATATATGATATGTATGTATATATGCATATGTGATTATATGTATTATATATAACATGTATATAGTGGATATATTTGTATGTATGTATGTATGTATGTATGTATGTATGTATGTATGTATGTATGTATGTATGTATGTATGTATGTATGTATGTATGTACGTACGTGTTCCTATGACCATGTCAGTATGCATGTGTGTTAGGAGCTGGCATGATTGAACAGGCCGTTCACTGCAGATTTGAGGCTCGAGCCTGCCAGGGTTCCCTGGTAGGCAGGTGATCCCAGTGTTGGCTGGGAGGGTCCATCATGGATCCAAAGGCGCTGTTGCGGCCAGTGCATGGGTATAGTCTGGATGACTTCAGAGCCCACTGGTCGGCAGTGAGGGAATATATCCTCATCGAGACTCTGGACGACAGTGGGAGGCCTCAAGGAGAAGCTGTGGTTCATGTGGAGCAGCTTTACCAGGCTGATGAGGACGGAGCCTTCGGCCTGGTCTCCTACGTAGCATGCAGCGACGAATACTACCAGTACTGGACCAAAAATGATATGAGCCAGAACACTTACCACCATTTCTGCAGGTCCTCCTCCGTTCGATCCTGCGGCAACAAGGTGGGGAAGCAAGGTATCGTCCATGTCATGAAGTGGACTGCAGTGACGAAGAGTGAATGTGAGAAGATCTTGCGTGAGTGGTCTTACTCCCCAAGCCTCCTGAATAAGAGCGTCAGGCCAGTGCCCGCTGGTGTCAAAGCTATTGAGGCTGAGGGTACAACAACCACAAAAGCCCAGCCGCCTCTTCCACCTCCATCTTTGGCCAGTGAAGCTGCTGGTGAGCCGGAGGACCGACACCGATCCCGGAGGGGGCACCGCAAGAGGAAGAGTGACCCGGAGGAGGACGAAGAGCCTGAGCAGCGTGATCGTGATCGGGGGCGTCGCAGGCCAAGGTTGGCTCAGCCTGTCACGCCGCCCAGGGAGCCACCGCCTCCCCGGGCTAAAGACATGCCAAAGAATAAAGACCAGACGGCGCTTGACAAGATGCTTGACGAGGATGCCCTCGATCTTGACAGTGAGCAGCTCCAGAACCAAGCTGAGCTGAAGCTGGCAACCCTGCGAGAGTCGCTGAACAAGAAGAAGGCGGCAACTTCCAGCCGTGAACCAGGGGCTATCCTGGCGGGGAGGGCAGCTGCCGTTGCAGAGACGGAAGTTAAGAAGAAGAAGAAGAAACCTGACAAGGCCATCACCCTGTTGAAAGCTCTGACAGGGAAGAAGGTCAAGGAGGAGGCTGACTATGGTGAAGACGTAAATGATGACCACTCTTCAGATGAGGAGACAGACTCCGATGGAGATGACACCAAGTTGCTCGGTGATGGCCGAGGGTCCAGCTCAGCGGCGGGGAAGCAGCGTAAGCTCAGGCAGTTGAGCGAGAGGCGTCCTGGAAGGTTGCTCTCCACAGGTTACAAGAAGATGCACGACCAAGTGGGGACCCACTATGGGGGCTTGTCTGACCATAAGAATGTCCTGCAGCCAGTTGCCCTGCGCTACTTGTTGAGTTTTGCCCTGCCGCAGATGCAGGGGGGCATTAGCCATGATCGATACCGGGAGTTGCGATCCATTGCAACTGGCCTGGACCTGTTGGTGGAAGGTCGCACAGGAATGGCAGGAGACCTGCTTATGCAACGCTTCAAGAGCATCCTGATGTCTCTCCGAGATGGAAGCGACGCTGCTGCCCGTTGGATTGAACTGTTGCCGTTCGATGAGGTGGCAACCATGTCCTCTGAGCAGGAGGAGTACATGGCAAGGGGAATGGCCTTGCACCATGCCAAGAGTGCCAAGATGCTGCAGCAGGTGGCTCAGGGCTAGGGACTCGGAGGGGAGAGGAACGACAAGGGCAGTTCCTCTCCTCATCTCCAACCCCGCACTACCGAGAAACCTGCCCTGAAAGCAAATCGCAGCCCAACACCCAGGAGGGAAAGACCAAAGAGCAAGAGCCCCAGGCGAGATGTCAGGGACGACCGGAGCCCCGACAGGAGGGTGAAGTTCGACGACGAAAGGGGACGTCCCCTGAGCCATCAGGTACCAGCCTCAACAGGTCGGTTCAAGCAGTTGAGACAAGACTTGCCGAGACGCGCCGGCGAGAGCAGGAGTCACTGGAAGAGCCGCATGATGACCCACATGGGCACAGCCCAGCAAGTGATGCGATCGCTTTGCCCGGTGTCTGCCGGGGAGATGATTTCCAGGGCTGGCTCTTACTTGCCTGGCGAGGGCCAGATGATAGCAGAGAGTTTTTTCCCAGTGGTTGCTGGGAGTGACGTGACTGTAAAACCACAGGCACAGGCGGAGGGCTGCGGGAAACCTCGTGACAGCTCACTGCACTCAGCGTTGGCTGAGGATAGTTGTGGTCAGTCTACGACCAAAGGTCAGTCAGTAGCAAAGCCACTGCCAATGCACGGGGACTCATCCGAAGGTGCAAGCCTGAAAGGTGGGAGCCAGTGCGTGGCAGGTTTTTCTCACTCAGGGGCGTTGGCCGGAGAAGTTTTGAATGTTGCTGACCAATTTTTGGATGTTTTTCATGTTGAAAGGTTGCGTTTGGTTCCCTTTCAAACAATTTGCAAAGAAGTCGACCTGCTACCCAAAAGTTGTTTTCAGGTAGGGATTTCTTTGGCGCAGCTCCTGCTGGCACACCCGCGTGACGGGAAATACATCTACTCTTTTCTGCGTTCGACGTGGACAAAAAGTTCTGACACGCCTACCCGAAGGGACTTGTTGCCATTCATGTTTTGCCCTTCTGTGGGAGCTGCGTTGAAAGTGGTTGCATTGTTTCCGGAATCCCCCAACGGTGTCATTCGGGTAGATAGGTCATCGATCAAAAGGATTCCCAGGCAACAGGCGAAGAAACTTTTAGTTGAAGGAAACATGCAGTTGTGGCGTTGGTTGATGGTACAGGTTCTCAATGGGGAGTACATGGATTGGACCATTTCTAGCCCTATCTCACCAGGTAAACCAAGTTTGGCCCAAATGGGAACCCTTGAGAGAATGGGTGAACAGGTAAAATATTTTGGGGGGGACCCTCTGGTTGATTGGGAATTGCCCAATTATCCTGAGCTGTTGGGCACCAAAACCATAGACTATGCGGGGGAGGAAGTTTCACACGCCCTGACATTGCGTCTGGAGGAATTGCTTCCTGGACTTCCCGAACCATCAGTGGGCGGCAGCTTGATAGCTGAGGATGTGGTGGATGACGTGGTCAAGGCGTGGCTGGTGGATCCGGCTAAGACTCTCAAGCCCGTTGAACATTGGCCCCCAAAAGTTCCTACTGCAAAGATTAACGCCACCAAGGAGGAGTGGTACAGGGTAGTACAAGCTTTGTATGAGCGGAACATTCTGACCACCATTGAGGAGCAGGACATTTTTAGAGTGCAAGGAGAGAAGGTCTTGAACGGTGCCTTTGCCGTATCGAAAAGTGGAACTCCTGCGACTGGTGAGACTAGGATAACACGGTTTATCATGAACATGACACCCAGCAATGCCTACCAAGTTCTTATGAGAGGTGACCTGCAGACCCTTAGTAGCTCCTCCAATTGGGCATCCCTAGTGCTACCTCCAGGTCATTGCTTGTTGTGGTCTTCAGATGATCAGCGTGGAGCCTTTTATGCGTGGCGCCTTCCAGCCGCTTGGCGTGGCCTGATGGCGTTCAGGTGGCCTGTACCCGGGCGCATGCTGGGGTTGGCAGCTGACTGGGTTTATGTTTGTTCAGCGGTAATCCCGATGGGGTGGCTGAATGCGGTTAGCCTTTTCCAGCATTTACACAGGAGGCTAGGGTTGAGTAAGCCACCCATCGGCTCAGGGTTCCCTGAGCACAAAGAGTGGCGTAGGGACCGACCAGTTCCACAAGGGTCCAAAGATGTTGCAATCGATTGGATCCAATACTACTTGGATGACTTCGATGCCCCTGAAGTGGTACCGGAAAATGATGTAGAGAAATTAAGGGGCAGTGTCTCAGCCGCGCAGCAAGCTCAAAGGGCAGCCTATGCCGCACAGGGCGTGGATATATCCGTGAAGAAGGCACACAACAGGGAGCCCTGCGTCCTGCGCATGGGTGCTGAAATTGACGGTATTGCAGGATTGTTGTCTGCACCCCGGAGCAAGATGAGAGAAGTCATAGGATTTACGTTGTGGCTGTTGGGCCAGCATCAACCCAAAGTTAAAGGATCGCTAATGGTGTTGGGTAGGTTGGTTAGGTGTTTTGAGTTTCGCCGTCCCCTCATGAGCCTGCTGCGAAATTGTTGGCCCAAGGTGACACCAACAGCAAGGAGGCCGCTGAGTGCCGAAACCGTGCGTGCGCTGGTGAGGGCCAGTGTTATGCTGCCTATGGCCGTGGCAGACCTGAGACTGCCAGTGGATGGGCTGGTGACTTCTAGTGACGCCTCCGAATCAGGAGGGGGCTTGTGTGCCTGCAGCCTTACGGACGAAGGACAAAGAACCTTGGAGACGTTGCAAAGTGAAGACTACGTGCGCACCCGTTTGACGGGATTCAGCGCAGCAGGGGCCATGGCCCCGAGCAAACCGAAGGGGCCTAAGCTGTTTGTGTTGTCACTCTTTGATGGCGTGGCTGCAGCCATGGTAGCCCTCACACGCCTTGACTGCCAGGTAGTTGGGTTTGCAGCTTCGGAAATTGATAAAGAATGTAAGAGGTTAGTTCGAAAAAGATGGCCTGGAGTGATCGAACTGGGCAAGGTGGAGTCAATCCAAGAAAAGACCATAACTGACCTTCTTAATGCTTTGGGGTACGAGGTGGACTGCCTGCTCATAGTTGCTGGAAGCCCTTGTCAGGACCTGACAGCCCTCCTGGCAAACCGAACGGGGTTGCAGGGCAGCCGGTCACGCCTTTTCTATGAGATTCCTCGGATCCACCGACTGTGCAAGAAAAGGTTCCCTGGGCTGGTTGCACTCATGGTTGAGAACGTTTTCTCCATGACTGAAGACAACCGTGATGAGTTTACTAAAGTCTTGGGTGTGCAACCAGTGCTGGTGTTGGCCAGTGATGTGTCATGGGTGCGGCGCCCCAGGCTCTACTGGATTTCCTGGGAAATACTTCCTCAAGGCGGAGAGCAGCTGCTGGATAAAGGGGGCTATCTTCATTGGCAACTCCCAGACTCGCGCCTGGAGCATGGTCATTGGGTCGACGAGGGATGGAAGCACTTGGGGAGGGATGCCCTTCCAACCTTTACAAGGTCTTTGCCAAGAGCGAAGCCGCCCTTACACCCTGCTGGAATCTCCGCCGCATCATCGACAGCGTGTACCAGATGGGCACAGGACCGACATCAGTTCCAGGTGTATCAATATGAGGACCATCACCTTTTATGGCAGGGGGATACTTGGCGTTTGCCATCCCTGCAAGAAAGGGAACGGCTTATGGGATTTGATGTAGGTTACATTTCAAATGCTTTACCTGAGAAATGGTCCCCCGATGAACAATTTCGTCAAGGCTGTGGAATGATTGGAAACACGTTTCATGTTCACTCGGTTGCTTTGTTGTTTCATGCTTTGGTGACATGCCTTAATCCCTGTACACCCCCAAGGGATATCCCCAGGTTGATCCGTTCACCGGGTGTGGCCCCTCACGGTTGGACAAAAACCCCAACCTTCTCTCAACAGCAAAAGTTGGATCCAGGTTGTTGTGAATTGGTTCATGAGATTCTAAGACAGGGGGATAAGGCTGGCACTGACATACGGTTGGACGTGGGCATTCCTTTTCGGTTCAAAGCATTTCCCAGGGCAGGCCTGAGGACCAGCTATTTTAGCTGGAAGATAATCCATGGTTACAAGTGGCAGCACACCAGCCATATAAACGCCCTGGAGTTGCAGGCCGTGGTCAACAGCCTACAGTGGAGACTCAGGAAGCTCAGCAACTACAAAAAACGAGTACTGCACTTAGTTGACTCGCAGGTGGTCGCCTGTGTGGTTGCAAAAGGGAGGACTTCCTCCTTCAGGTTGCGTAAGGCCCTCCAGAAGTTAAACTCCCTGCTGTTGGCATCCGGAGTTAAGCTGTGTGTGGGTTACTGCCATACATCTGAGAATCCAGCCGACATTCCCTCAAGATGGTCCGAAACCAAAATGCCAAAATAGAGAGACGCATCAAACACAGGGGACTTGACCTCAAAGCGTCGCTGGTGACACCACAGCTGCTGAAAAGGTATCAGGCAGCCTTGGTGCGCGTGACTACATTCCTGCAGGATTGCAATCTGCGGGTGGAACACATTGATGACTTGGATGAGGCAGTCTCATCTTGGATTGAGCATATTTTCTTTGATGGCGAGAGCAAAAGTTTGGCCAGTGATGGGCTGGCTAGCATACAATACCACTTGCCTCAAGCCATTGGCCACCTACGCCTGAGCTGGAAGCTTGCAAAAGCATGGCAGAAAATCGAGCCGCCATCCCGGGTGGTGCCACTGAGTCCCTTGTTGACCCGTGCTTTCGCGGGTGCCTGTCTGATGACTGGCCGTGTTGCCGAGGCTGCATGTGTGCTTACAGCCTTCGACGCTTTGCTAAGGCCAGGAGAGCTCTACCTTCTGCAGGTAAGGGATGTCATGTTTTACTCACACCAAGCTGTCATTACCCTCAGGGACACAAAGACAGGGAAGCGACGCAGCTCAGGGGAGATGGTCGTGGTTGAAAGCTCATTGGCCACTCACTATCTTAAGCTTGCCTGTCAACACCGGCCTGCTCGATCCGTTTTGCTCCAAGATGGGGCACCTGCGTTTCGTCTCCTATTCCGCAACCTAGTGGACCACTTTGAATTGCAAGGCTTGTTTGCTGTGTATAGTTTGAGACGAGGTGGTGCAACTTATAATTTCCTCCACCATGGAAGCATGGAAAAGACACTGCTTAGAGGCCGGTGGACAAGCACCTCAACTGCAAGAATCTACATCCAAGACACCATCGCCACAGTTTCACAACTGCGTTTAACTCCAACACAGAAGGCACATGCCCTTAGGGCCGCCCATGCTTTGGATACATGATTTTACCCCGGCTTCGCCAGTGAGGAGACCGTGGAAGGGTGGTCTCTTTGCGCAGTGAATGCTGCTGGCATTCCCCTTTTTTGGCGCAGTGTTTGCTGCGGACTCTTCTGGTTGAAACTTGCCCAGGGCTCCCTGGGGGGATTCAATGGCTATCTGATCAAGGCCGTTGGCTGCTTTCTTAGTAGCTGAGTTTCAACTAACCAAAAGGGGTTGGTGCCAGTGTTTCTTTCATAAGATGCGGCAAGCATCACTGTGACAACCCTGGCGTGTTCAGAAAAAGCAGCGACCGTGGGACACATGTTCCTATGACCATGTCAGTATGCATGTGTGTTAGGAGCTGGCATGATTGAACAGGCCGTTCACTGCAGATTTGAGGCTCCCTCCCAACCCGCCGCGGATTTAGTTCCGGCGCGCGGAACGAAGGGTGGTCTCTTTGCGCAGTGAATGCTGCTGGCATTCCCCTTTTTTGGCGCAGTGTTTGCTGCGGACTCTTCTGTTTGAAACTTGCCCAGGGCTCCCTGGGGGGATTCAATGGCTATCTGATCAAGGCCGTTGGCTGCTTTCTTAGTAGCTGAGTTTCAACTAACCAAAAGGGGTTGGTGCCAGTGTTTCTTTCATAAGATGCGGCAAGCATCACTGTGACAACCCTGGCGTGTTCAGAAAAAGCAGCGACCGTGGGACACATACGTATGTATGTATGTACGTACGTAGGTATGTATGTATGTATGTATGTATGTATGTAATGTATGTAATGTATGTAATGTATGTAATGTATGTAATGTATGTAATGTATGTAATGTATGTAATGTATTTAATGTATGTAATGTATGTAATGTATGTAATGTATGTAATGTATGTAATGTATGTAATGTATGTAATGTATGTAATGTATGTAATGTATGTAATGTAGTAATGTATGTAATGTATGTAATGTATGTAATGTATGTAATGTATGTAATGTATGTAATGTATGTAATGTATGTAATGTATGTAATGTATGTAATGTATGTATGTATGCATGTATGTAATGTATGTATGTATGTAATGTATGTAATGTATGTAATGTATTATGTATGTATGTATGTATGTATGGTATGTATGCATGGTATGTATGCATGTAATGTATGTATGTAATGTATGTATGTAATGTATGTATGTTATGTATGTATGCTATGTATGTATGTAATGTATGTAATGTATGTAATGTTATGTAATGTATGTTATGTAATGTATGTAATGTATGTAATGTATGTAATGTATGTTATGTAATGTT